TCAAGATATGGATTTATCTATCTACCTATCTAAATAGTTAATATTTATTTGCTATTTTTTTTTTTATCTATGTATGTTTACTTATTTATCTAATTATTCATCTGTAGAGTTATCTAATTATTATCTATATATTTATCTAATTGTTTATCTGTATATTTATTTATTTTTTTACATATGTTATATTGATCTATCTACCTACTCATCCCCCCGCTTATCCATTTGTCTGTCTGTATTCATAAACAATGAATGATGAAAAATAATTTTATGAGTAAGTACGACTTTGCCTCCAAAGAAGATAAGGCGGTGCATAATCTTTACTGACATATGAAATGTACAAGTATACTTTGGTAGCGTATGCACTACAAAACTTACTATCATATTTTCACATTGGTTTAGAGTGCCTGACACACCCGCCTCCCTTTTCTTTCTATTTTTCTCCTTTATTGTATGTACGTTAAACCACCAGTACCTCCGCCAGTGTTGAGAAATTACGATGTTTTGCCAGTTCCCCAAGTTATCGGGGGTGGGACATAGGGTCGACACTGTCCCATATATCAGATTTTTGTATTGCCCGTGGGTATAAAAAAATAAAATAGAAAATACTATCTTTACTGCAATGATGTCGGGCAGGGTAGTCTTGGAGATCGTGCTCAGAGTCTTCCTCCACAGAATGCACCTCACCCCTAAGACGGTCACATTGTGGATGTTACTGTTTTCTTTGTTTTCTTGCTCGTGTGTTTCTTATAAGTCCCCTGCCAATGAGGCCGGGAGGAATCCTTGAATTGCTCAAGTCGTCCGTGATCTGCTCAAGTTGTGTTTTGTCAGAGGATTGTAACACTCGTCACACTGGTCCTATGGGGAATGTATCCAACCATTTTCACGACCGGATCCATGTGCCAGTTTTTCCCCCCTTCTATTTTCTATTTCGAATCTGACAACCTGGCCACAGGGCTGGGATGCCCTCATTGAGGGCACACTCACACTACCACTTCCAAGAATGTATACAACTGCAATCACAGTCAAAAATTTGTTTCATTTTTTCNNNATCGGAGCGTGGTAATTGTGCGTGTGTTTGCATGTGTGTGTGTGTGTGTGTGTGTGTGTGTGTGTGTGTGTGTGTGTGTGTGTGTGTGTGTGTGTGTGAGAGAGAGAGAGAGAGAGGGGATTGAGAAAGGTTTTTTTGCCTTTTTATGCATGCTGAGGGTGGAGGGACCGATGACGGATGAAAGGGGTTTGCCCTTTTAAGACTGTCATTAGGCGGAGAAGAAATTATGGCCGAAGAGGCGATATGGATTTGGGGGAATAGTTGTTGGGTGAAATTATAGCGTTGATTTTATTGTATATTTTTATCCGTAATTGATTGAGAAATTGAAAATGTGGTTTTGGACAGAAAGCAAGAAGTGACGAATCAAGGAAGACGCGGAGGACAGGAATGAGGACCTGGCCCATTTTTTGGGTTTTCCTGAAATTTCGCTTTTTTATATTTTCTTCTTTTTTTTGGCGTTTTATTATATATATTGATCAGGCCGTCAAGGCCACCCTTCTTCCCCCGAATACAACGTATGGTCATTAAATCTGTATTTGGGGCATCTTTCAGTTGAAATATAGCTATTGTAATTTGTAATGACCATCCGTTGTATTCGGGGGAAGCAGGGTGGCCCTGCCTGCACTACGAGAGCGCACTCATTCATACCTGTATGTATCTGACCACATCTTCAGTAGCGGGGACAGACGGCGTTATACCATTCAGGGCCAGGTGCATTGGAGGAATTGCGTGCGGGCTAATTTGGCGTGAATTTGGTCCAAGAATCGTACCAGGTTAGTGTTAGGCAAAGTGAATATAGAAACTAGTAATCCTGCAAGTGAGGAGCGGACCATCAGGGCGGACCGCACTTGTACGTGGACTTTCCTGGATGTACTTTACCAATTTTCACGACCACATTCATTCAGCAAAGTCCTAGTACCAGTTTCTCCTATCACGCATCGACCAGTTTCACTCGAGGAATTTTTTCCTGGCAATTTTGTGTGGAAGGGTTGCTCTCCTTTTTCTTTTTTTTTTTTTTTTTTTTTTTTTTTTTTTTTTTTTCCCTTTTTTTTTTTTTTTTTTTTTTTTTTTTTTTTTTTTTCTCTTCCGAATGGCATCACACTGATTAGATCCTTTAAAGTAATTTTGTTTTTGTACATGGTGTTTGTATTACTTTGGAACTATTATAACATTATTATTATTATAATATTATTTTATGAATTTAGTTTTTAAAATAATAATTATTAAGAAAAATGTAACCATTATCCCCGAGGGTGTTTTGCTGGCAAGTCTTTTCCTCGTACAGATTTCTTCAGTATTGATTTTGTTTTTCCTTTTCTTTTTTTTTTTTCTTTTTGTCGTTTTTTTTTTTTTTTTTTTCCCTGCCCCGTTTTAGATCATTGTTCATTTCTCCTCCTTTTAATGATGCGGGGAGCTTTTACATTTGACTGAATCTGGCCGGAAACATACCTCGTGTGCAGTGCGATGAGGAGCCCTTACGCTGATTACAATCTTCCCCCGAACAGAACGTAACGTTATCACGACTGTATCGGACCGGCAAGGTAGCATGTATACATTTCATGATGAGGACACGTTTTATTCCCGTGAAGACTGTAGCCATGGTCCTTCCATATGATTGGCTAATCCGGCCTCTTTGTCTGTTATGATGTATGGTCGGTATCGGGGCGTGGATGTAGGGGGACCACCTCTTTTCCCCTCTCCACCACCGCTCATGGTCGGTATCGGGGCGTGCATGTGGAGCATCTCCTCCCTTCTCCACCGTGTTTGGTCGGTATCGGGGCGTGAATGTGGGCCCCTCTCTACTGGCTGTTTGTCTTGTTAGTTGTGTGTGTAGCCTGTGCTTATCAGCACCTGTCTTTTTTTTTTTTTTTGTTGACCTGTCCTGTCGGTATCGGGTCGTGATATGACGGAAGATTCATCTATGGTTTTCCCGTTATTTTTCTCGCCCTGGCCTCACCCCCACCACCGGTATCCAACCCACTAACACAGCACAAGACCCTCTCCTTTCTCAAGAAGAGAAGACTGCAAAGTGAGAGCATCTGCGGGTATAAACGTCTCTGGAGCTTATGTCTGTATGTGGACCAAAAAATGGGGAAAAGGGGAAAAGGGCAAATAGGGAAAAGGGAGACTTACGTCTGTATCACTAGTACGAAATGAGGAAGGTGATGGTTTGGCTCGAGTGCGATCGCTGGAAGTCGGGATCGCGGTTTTGAGTAGTCTCAGCGGGAGGAGGGGGACGAAGCCAGAACGAGTCCGCACGCATGCTCTAGGAGTTTCCCGAATGAATCTGGCCGTAATTGCGGCAGGATACGTCCGGGAGAGTCCTGCCGTAGTGTGGGCGTATGGATTATTATAAGGTAAGGTAGGTAAGGTTTGCCCAAGTGTTTCAAAAACTCACGTGAATCTGGCCGTAATGGCGGCAGGATACACAGGAATTGTGAAGGCCAATCTTAGCGTGTAGATGATTCGTCTTATCTATACCTTAATTACCGATCACAGCAGCGGGATATTACCTTCTTCCCCGAACACAACGCCCAGTCATCATGAATGGATGCGAGCCGCGTTCCTGGCTAGATGCAGTCACAATGACCGGAGAACAAATATGCTGGAAAGGGAATATCTCCTTGGTGTTGTGTTCGGTGGAACAAGCCAGCGACCGAAGCTTCTGTTTTTTTTTTTCTTTTCTTTTCTAAGGGGACTATTCTATGGATGCAAGAATTGCACAGGTCATTTACATCATATAGCAGAATAAAGTTCCCTTTTTTTTTTCCCCAAACGAACCGAATTAGAGAAGGACGGTGGAAATGCTAGCATTAGCAAATAGCGTAAAAGAGAGAGAGAGAGAGAGAGAGAGAGAGAGAGAGAGAGAGAGAGAGAGAGGGGGTGTGCCGGACGGTCTGGGCAGAGCCGAGAATTTCAATTTCAAGCCCATCCCGCGTGGGAAGGGCAGAATGGTAAATTCCGACCTGGAAAACTCGGTTGCAGGTGCGAACTCGGATGCATGCTTTTCAAAGGGTATAACTGAGATTTATCCACTCAGTGAAGATATTTGATTATTTGCACCCGACGGAGTACGGCTATTTTGCAATCGGATCCGCCCCTGCTTCTTTTGCCTCACCTGCCGGGCTGGGTGGCCGTCGGTCGGCTCATTTGGACCCCTGCACGTGCGGGTCGTCGCCGGGGGGCCTAGGTCCCACTTGCACGAATTAAGAGATACTGACCGTAGATAGCGAAGATCAACGGCCGAAATATCGTAATTTGCGCAAGTGGGACCTTGCCCCGGAACTGCCATGGACCCCTCACCGAAAGGGTCTTCTTGCGTGCTGCGGAGGGTGCCGAGGGTGTTTTTCGTTTCGACCCGGCGATGGCGTTGGTGATGATCCTTATGGTTAAGCGATCGCTGAATGGCGTCAGGGCTACCGGTAGTTGAGGCGATTGGGTGGAGAGGGTAGTGGCCAGATTAGCTTGTGAATGAAGCCGACAACCATTTTGTTGCAGGCCAATGAGCTCTTAGTTCTGTGTCCTTTTGCCCATCTCTTCGGTAGCGTTTAATTCCGGTAGGGTCCGATCGTTTGGGTTCGGTATCACTGCCGACCGATGGGGGGAAATCTTGCTTTTTCCTAATGTAATCTGGGTGGGTCAGCGATCCCGATGGTTTCGGGGTCGGTATCACTGCTGATGTCGGGACTTGAACCTGTCAATACGGTAATACGGCCGCGCAGCGATTGCCACATGCAGCCAGCCGCCGCTGATAGCAAATCAACCGGTAGGTGTTGGGGCAGATTGTAAGTTTTTCTCATTCGTGCTTTCTTCCTCTTACTGGCGGGAATGTGGGGTGCAGTTTATTGGCGGGAATGTCGGGTACAGTTTATTATTGGCGGGAATGTCGGGTGCAGTTTATTGGCGGGAATGTCGGGTGAGTTTATTGGCGGGAATGCCGGGTACTAATTAAGGGGTGCTGCCACTTCAGCGAGAGATACCATTTTCATCGACATGTGAGGGAATTCTCTCTGAGGAGATTGCTGGACTGGGCTGGGGAAGGAGATCGGGATCGAGCTAGGAAGGGTTGAGGGTTGCGACAAGTCCTTGAGCGGTTGAGGTTAGTGGGTGCTTCAAGTGGCCCGGTGATCGTACGTACAACTGGCCAGGTCCAGGGAGGAGAAAGGATCCCCTGTGGTTGTATCAAATAGGGGTTCTTCAATGTGTGCTAAACCTGTTGACAGCCTATACAAATAGATTTCCACACTACTTTGAGTTAAGACACCGCATATTTATCATCTCCCTACCACTTAGATATAATAAGTATACAGATCTTTTCCAGTTACCTCTGTGTGTGTGTGTGTGTGTGTGTGTGTGTGTGTGTGTGTGTGTGTGTGTCAGAGAGAGAGAGAGAGAGAGAGAGAGAGAGAGAGAGAGAAGGTGGAAGAGGGGGGTATTCTTCCGAGGTTCCTGAATGGAGAGCAGCAAGAAAAAGAAAAAGGCCAAGGGGAAGAACAAACGGCAGAATCAGGAGAAGGAGAGTAATCAAGGAGACCAACGATCGCGACAAAGCGTGAGCTCATCGGCGCAGGGGAGTAATCAAGGAGACCAGGGATCCCGACAAAGCGTTGGCTCATCACCGCAGGTCAATCCGCCCGCACAGGTGGTGTCGGATCCTTCCTCAAAGCCCGCCAATGCCACGGCCACTGCCACCTCCACCGCTGCTCCGCGAGAGGAGGCACGCGCAGTGGGACCTGTTGCCAGAGGTAGAGCGGGGGGACTCTCTGGTCCCACGGGATGGGCCCAACAGGATCGTCAGAAAGAGGCGATCATAGAGTCTTTTCCTCCTGAGGCAGCCGCGTCGGCGGTTGGCGGGCGCGTGAACTTTACAGCGGGTCGTGCGGAGGAGAAAGGACAGGTGGCAGACCAGGCGCGAGCGAGGCCGACTGCTGCAGCGGGGAGGCGAACAGCAGGAGGAGGAGGAGGGGGAGGTGGAGGAGGAGGAGGAGGAGGTGGAGGAGGTGGAGGAGAGGGAGGAGGCTCGCGGTTACGGGCACCCGATCGCTACTCCCCTGCTCCCCCTGCCTATGATGGGTTGTCGGACGATGATCGGCGCAATCACGATGACGTGGCCGAAGGGGGGCAATCAAGAAGGCGGGGGAATCGGAGAGATAAAGTGGCGATGGCGGAGGCGGAAGGGGAAGGTGGGGGGGACGGGGAGGAGACGTCCGATGCGACGAGCCCAATTCGTGTGAAGTCAGTGGGCTCGGGCGGGGAAGAGGGTGGCAACGCTGCCGCAGGCGGGGATCTCGATCTCGCCGGCGTCGAGATCTCGACAGCACGTGACGTCGCCCGCCTCCTTCCGAGCGGCGCCGCCGCTGTCGCCCCTCCTTCGCCTGCTTGGCAGCTCAATGGCAGCGGCGGCGGCGGTGGCGCCGAGGGCGCTCGGCTTCCGCCGCTGGGACCCCGGCCGCCGTCCTCGGCTGACCACCTGGACTCTCTGCAGGGCCCGGAATTGGTGAGGTACCTGGCAAGTCGAGTCGACGACTTATCCTCTGAGCTGGCGCACTTGAAAGGCGGGCGAGGGGGGGGGAAGGGGGGGGGGGGGGGGGGGGGGGGGGGGGGGGGAAGACAGTTGTTGATGGAAGTACACGTGGCGATTCCTCGTCGTGGGGAAATGGCAACCTTGAGGAGGAAGGGTCGGGGAACTCGGTGGTGGGTGCGATAGTCGGCGGGAGTGCAAGTACGGAAGCGTGGGGAAATAACAGAGTAGTTGGAGGGGGAGGAGGAGGTGGTGCTGGGAGGGAAGGGGGCGGGGGGGTGGCGGGAACTGAGCGCGAAGTGAGGAGAGCGCGGCGTCCTGCGCGAAGAGTAGGTGGGGGAAACCTCCCGCCTAAGGTTGGCAACGATGCAGCGGAGTCGAGCCTCGACGAGGCGGCGTTTGGTTGTGGCGGCAGATTAGCGCCGGCGGCTCTTGGGGGAGCAGGAGGGTGGAAGGGCTCCGCATCTGCATCATCAAAGAGCGAATTGCTAGAGGATATTGTTGTGAAGCTGAGGCATCAACTGCTAATTAGTGATGGCGAGAGGGAGAGCAAAACGCACACCACGCTTCGACAACACCAGGAGCCAGTGTTGTTGAAGCGACGGGCTGACAGTATTGATGCGGGTAATCTTGTGTCATTGGAGAACCTGAGTAGGGAGATAGAGGCGGAGATGGAAGGGGAAGGGGAGGGGGAAGGGGGTAGAGGCGAGGTGGGAGAAAGGAGAGACGGTCACAGCAGTAGAGACTGGGAGAGGCAGGCACAGCAGCACAGAATGGAGGAGGAGGGTGAGGAAGACGGAGCGCAGAGTCTAGATGAGGGAGGTGATGGGGATGAAGGAGTTGATGGCAGTAAGGAGGAGGAGGTGGTAATCAAGAGGACGGCGATGGCAAGGCTGTCACAGAACCTGGCACAGAATCTGGCGATGGCGATGATAACACAGAATCAAGCTATGGAGGAGGAAGGGTTGGAGGACAGGAGCGAGACGGCGGCTTCGGAGGCGTTCCGCGAGCAAGTTGATTGGAATGGATCGGGATCGGGATCGGGAGTGGAGGTGGAGGATATGGTAGAAAGCCTGAGGGAGAAGCTAGAAATGGAGAGAGAGAGCACGCAAGAACTGAGGGAGCAGTTGTTGAAGCTTGAGAGGGAGAATGAGAGACGCAAGGAGGAGGTGGAGGACATGGTGGAGAGTCTAAGGGAGCAGCTGGAAAGGGAGAGAGAGAATATACAGGCGCTCAGAGCGAACGTGTTGCGGCTAGAGGAGGAAAGGGGGAGGTTGCTAGCAAGGCAGTCCGAGCTCGAAATTGCCTCCCAGGCCGTCGAGGAAGAACGTGATTTGGCAATCAAGGATTTGAACGAACGTATGGAGAAGGAGAAGGAGATAGCCCGCGACCTGAGAGACCAGCTGAGGACGGTAGAGCAAGACTTAGCCTCGCGCGAGCTTGCAGGGGTAAGCACCATTTTCTCTTCTCTATGGCTTTGTTCTCCTCTATGCGTGTGTGTGTGTGTGTGTGTGTGTGTGTGCGTGCGTGTGTGTGTGTGTGTGTG